AACGTAGTAGTACGTACGTACGTACGTACGTACGTAGTAGTACGTAGAGTACGAGTAGTAGTACGTAGCGTACGCGTAGGTCGGTACGGTCGTACGTCGCTCTCTCTCTCTCTCTCTCTCTCTCTCTCTCTCTCTCTCTCTCTCTCTCTCTCTCTAAGTAATACTCATAAGTTGTGTAGAGAAAATAAGGGTGAGCAAGGGTTTAAATAGAAGTGTGGTAGCCTCATATTGTGAGTAAATCAATTTAAGCCGTTAATGCTATTCATTTATGGCACATAAGAGGGCTATAATCCTAACTATACATCCACGCCTGGCCATCAAGATTAATGGATGTGATTGTACACCTTTATAACTCCATAAAAACCTAGATCAAGCCATTTTACCAAATTGTCCTAAGGTAGGAAATAGATTTCTCATAAAACTTTTACTCATTCAAAAATATTCCATAAGACTTTATGAAAATAATGAAACACCAAAAGGGTAGGGGATGCCCTTATCGTAATTTGGAAACTCTATTTTATAAAATACTCCAATTAAGATACTTATCATAGATAAGCCAATCACAATGTGTCATTTAATGGAATTTACATGGGTTTAGCCAATAAGATTAAGCCATCTAAAAAGGTGGATCAAGGAAGTATTTCCATTAAATACTTAGGATTTAAATCAAAATATTATGGCTAGCTCTCAACCGTAGGCACATGTGATCAAACACATATGTGTGGTAAAAACCCATGTGACAATTAAAAACAATTAAGCTATAAAACACAACTTTATTTAAAACATTATAACTAAAATGAACAAACAACTTAATTCTAAAAGAGAACACCCCCCATTTAGTTGGGCACCATGCCAACATCATCATCTAGGTAGGGTCGTGCGGTGCCACGTGCGACCCCCCACAAGGTGTCCTTCCTAGGAATATGTCCCAAACAAAATTTAAATACTCATTTTATACTTCAAAAAAAGTCCAAAAAATTCCCCAAAGTTCTCTAAAACATTTTCCACCAAAAAAACACATTTTTACACCTAAATAAAATCAAACAATTGGTAAATGAGATCTCTAAGCTGAAATCTAGGTATCAGAGTACTCCATTGTGCTAGTTCAAAATGGTGATCCACCATCTCAAAATGACCCAACAAGCCTTTGCTCCACGGTTTATGGCAGGGACGCATAATATGGCTTTAGGAAAGTAATCCCAATCAAGGACCCAACATTTCCGGATCTCAATGGATTATGGGCGCACCCTTAAGGACAAAGTAGTGCTCATATACAAGGGTCTTCTAATGGCACATGTGCACTAGATCATATACATCAAAAGAGTGGCTTCCAGTGAGACTGTGAGTATACATGCCATAGGGTGGTCGAGCTTTTGATTACCGGCTCATGTCCCATAAGTCAAAACCATGCGATACAGGGCCATTACTTGGAAGATACTTAGGTTATAATCACTTTTGGGTTCTCCTAGCCCTGGCCAACACACAATATCCATGAGGCATAAAATCTCATAAGTCCCTGACTAAAGGTGACCGCGATACCTCCACTAATCTCTCTCTCTCTCTCTCTCTCTCTCTCTCTCTCTCTCTCTCATTGGGCCCCAATGCAAGAAGCACCCAAAATCATCTTCTACCACTCACTCCCACTACGCAAGAGAATATTCATTTTAAGGCCTTGAAAGGCCATAATTCCAACAAGTTCGACCATTCCAAACCAAACCAGCCGGTCCCGATCTCCTATTAATTCCGAAGAGTACCCCTTTTAGAACTTTTCGCTGTTTGTAATGAATTTTGACTTTCTTTTTTTTCTTTTTTTGGTCTTCTTGAACATAGTTCAGAGAATTTTGGTCATAAAAGAAGAATTAACAACAACAAAACTATTAATCACTGGGGATTTCATCAAGCCATACAAAAGTTCATAGCAACAAAAATAGTTACCAAGGTGAGATCGCATAAAACGACATAAATCGTTAATAGAAATGAAAGCTGTTGACCATATTGTTAATGGCAACATTCAAAGTTCAAGAATACAGATTCACCCACCTAGGCTGCCAAGGGGGTCCCAACCTCCTAGGCGATCGAGTGGCCACCTAGGCAGCTGCCTCGAATGGTGACTAGTTTCCTAGGCAAACAACTAGAGTGGGAAAGACTAGGGGCACATTGTGGGGATTGGGACATCCTAGCAGTTCCTATGAAGGGTGTTGCTCGGCACATAAAACACAAGGAGGAAGCACATGTCCAACTAAAAGGAGAATAATGGGGTCCAAATGTTGAGAGATTGTTAAAAGCATGAAGAGGGGCTATATATCAAACTAATGGGGAATGAGTAGGGACAGTTGTAGGGAGATTATTATGGAAGTAGTAGATGAGGGTGGAGTTGGATCAATCGAGACCATGGGATATGAGGCTCCTTATGAGCGCAAATTTTATTTTATAGCAAATTTCAACCAAAAATTATGTTCAAATCTTTGTCTTTGTCATGTAGTGCTCTTCTTATATGCCATATTCCTTAATCATGGTCATGAAATTGAATTTCAACAACTGGAACTTCTTATTCTTCTTCTTCTAAGGTGGCCCAAGGTATCCACCTACAAGCTTTTGGGTGCCCCCTTAGGTAATGCCTTGGCCCAAAAGGCAGGGACCGTGTAATGAGCTAATTAGGCACCTGCCTAGGGCTATTCAGTGTGGGATGGGGCCTCAACCGCCTAAGTAGCCAGCCTAGGTGGCAAATGCCCAAATTCTCAAACATTGGCAACGATAACCATTATAAAAGAGCATCAAGCTCATACATATGCAAGCATAAGCCAGGGAATTGCATAAAGCAAGACAAAGCATTAAGCCCACATGAAGCGTTTCAATTGCAATGAAAACGACAAGTAACATATAGAGAGATGAAGACACCACTTTGCATGAAATAACTTTCTAAACTAAGCAAGTAGGAACTAAGAAAGATGTGCTCAATTTCGGACAGTAATTTACAAGATGCTCTCATTCTCTATAATTATTCAACTACTTGAATTCTCAAGGTGCAATTGGGCTCAGGCCAGGATATCTCCAATAATAACCTAGCCCAATTGCTCGTAACTCCGTTTGGTTTGCACACCAAAAGAGAATGCTAGAGACGCAAACATAATGATGATTTGCCTTCTAGTGGTCACCTCAATGCTCTTTGGAGGCGACGAACACATTGCACAAAGGTTCGGCCTATAGAGAAAGAAACAACAGTATAGAAGCTGTCTACAAAAATTCAGCAAGCAAAGGAAGAAGGAAAAGAAAATTGGAAGAATGAAGCTCCTCAAAATGTCCACCATAGATGAATATGTAGAGAAAAAAAATGGAAGGAGCTTTTCTTGAAATTCATCAAACAAGATAAAGAACATGACATGAAGGAACCTTCTCTCTATAGATGTTTGGGTTTATATAGACTTACCAAAAGACAATGATGCCCTGTCTGACATCCATTGGCCATTAAAGAGGTTGGTTTATACTGGTCAACATAGATGGGATTATATTGTTCATCCAAGAGGTGAACAGGTATTGGTTATTCAAAAGGAGGGTCAGTATTAAGATTTAAGAATACCCTAAAAATCTAGGATATAACATCAGGTTTTAACATAAGAACCCCGGGATTATAGAGTTTACTATTAATGTTAAAATAAGACAACATCAGCATATCACTGTCTAACATAATACGAGTGTCAAAAACACCAATTTCAAATTTGGACCTTTAGACACGGAATGTCCATACACTATTCAAAGAAGGGTGAGGTGCAATTTTAGAAGAACTTAAGCATTTTAAAGTAGGATTTCAAGAAAAAAGGTTCTAACGGGATTTTAGGATTCCAAAGAGTCGGAAACAAGCATCATATCCTTGGTGTGTTGACAAGCACAAAAATTCTTGGACATGTGCATCCATGTCATGTCTCAAAATAATAACAATAGCCAAGCAAACAAAGAAAAAAAATTGTTTCCAGCAAACCAAAATCCACGAATAGCTAAATATAAAATGCAAGTAGATAAATATAAAATGCAAGGTAAAAAAAGATGACACATACATTCAGTCACGTACATTTAACAGAAAAGAAATCAAGATACAAGAAATAACTATTGATGAGTGACAAAAACCAATTAAATTAAGAAACTCCAAACACTATCCAGTAAATAAAACACCCAAAAACTTGCTCCCAATGACTAAAACCAAACGAAACATCAAAGAAGAGGCAAAATAGATAAAGAACGAATCATCAAATTATGCTTGAGAGAGATGTGAATGTTTACACAATTAGGAAATTAAACATTCCCATACCTTCAGATGTGCTCCAGGAGACACCTCCAACGAAGATTTTTCTAATCAAACAAGAAATTAGGGCATTGGAGTTAGCCAAACTGTGCTGTCCATTTCTAGCAGGCAATGGGAGGCTAATGACCTAGCACCAACCACTCCCTACATCTTATTCTAACTAACCAGAAACTAAGCCAACTCTGAAAACTAGACCTCACTTTGGACCCAGATAAAACTAACTAACCCTGGTGATGAATCCTTAACAGAGGAAGTATCTTCGCCTGCACTATTTACGTTATCAACCTCATCATCCTCATCTTCATAATGCTCTGAAACGTCTTCCTCGCCATTAGAGACAGCTATTTCATCTAAGGTTTGCTCCTCTGCAACATCCATGATCTCTTCCTTCTCTTTCGTCACTCTAATCCTATGAACCTGCAAACGAGTAAATGTTACTATAACTAGTCTGCTTATCCCAAACCCTAATATCACCTTGAACACTGAACCCCCAGCTATGGAAGCGCACTACCTCCTCTTAGGGTTCTCTGAATGGTTCCTAGGGTTTTGCAGCGGGTCTATACCGAAGGGATGCTTGCCGTTCCTACTTCGCAACTTAAACGAGGCGACAAATAACACCACGCGAGGCGACAAATAACATGTTATCAGATGTGGCAACCAAGTAAGGACACGATTTCGACACGGTGTCTCTTTCAGTGAATGATGTTTGACACCGTCGCTGTGTGTTTCATGGAGACCGTAAATTTGATACGTTTTTTAAATTGGTGCGGTTTGTATAGAGCCTAAGCTCTAAATAATCAAATTAAAGCCTACCTTCAAATAGTTTTGAGAAATGTGGTTTCGATATTGGAAATCTTTATGATAGAATTAAAAATGTACTTTAATTTTTATTTATAAAGTTTAAAGCTTTAAAATTAGCGTAGATCGATAGATATACGAAAATCTTGAAAATTGACAGTCCAAAAATGCGTTACTAGATGCACCATTTTCAAAATTTGAAATTCATTTTTTTCTTATGTCCATGCATCTTGATGTATAGATGCTCAAATTAGAGCCTTGGCACTATATAAATTTTTCCCTTTTGAAAGGGTGCAGTTTGCATGGAGCTGAGGCTTTAAACAATCAAAGTAAAGTGTACATTCAAATAGTATCCAAACTGTAGTTTTAATATTAAAAATCTTTGTGATAGCCTTAAAATATATTTTCATCTATAATTATAAATTTTAAAGCTTCAAAAATAGTATAGATTAAGTAAATCCATGAAAACTTGAAAAACTTGAAAATTGACAGTCCAAAAATGCGATGCACTATTTCCAAAATTTGAAATCCATTTTTTCTCATGTCTATGCATCTTAAGGTCGAAATGATCAATTTGAGGATATTTGATAATTGAAACAATTTCTTCTAATGAAATTTTTGAAGCGAGCGCTAAATTGATTGTTTAGAACCTCGCGCTTATAGAAACTTTTTCCCTTTCCAAATAGTGGCCCAAAGTGTCAAACCTACAAGGAAAATTTTATATAAGGTTTCAACCTTATACTGTATGCGTAAGGTGCACTTAAAAAACAACTAGTGAAGGTTGTTTCTATGTTGGAAAACCCTCAAATCAACCAACTCACTCTTTAGATTTATAGACGTGAAAAAAAAAAAGGGATTTCTAGTCCTAAAAATAGTTCATTTTCTAACTTATTATCTGGACCGGCCATTTCAATATTTTCAAGTGTTTATAGATATGTTTGATAGTTACCATTCATGAAACTTTAAATTTCATAATTGGGGGTAATAATAGATTTTCATATAATTTCATAATTGGGGGTAATAATAGATTTTCATATCATTGTAAGGCTTTGCGATACCCAAACTGCATTTTTTATATAAGTTTGAGGCACACCTTACTTCAATAGTATAAAGTTGACACTTTATACAAACCTCACCCAACCTACCGTGCCTAAATATAATAAAAGGTGTGTGGTGCTGCCATCGTACCTCTTAAGTAATTTTACAGCCTTGCATAAATATTTTATATATAACTCAAATGTATTCAACTTTGGGAAATTTTGGTAATACAACTGCTCTATTTCTTTTATTTTACACTCAGTTCCCTTTTTTTTATTTTTCCGATATATCCCCAAGTTGATAATCCAAGAGGCTTAGGTCATAGGACACCAAAGTACGGGTCGGCACTTGGATATGCCCAATGGCTCCAAAGTGCCGGGCAGCATTCCAAGTGTTGACCCGATCCGAAGCTCAGGTAGGTTCGGCACATGGAGTGTTGCCTTGTGCTCTAGATTTGCCACTGGGTGGGTGAGAAAAACCGAGACTGGATCAATGAAGGAAAATGAGCTAAAAAACATTCCCTTATGTACAATAAACTCATTCATCAGGGCCAGAATAGGAGCATCATGTCAAAATCACACTTGGTATGATCCACAATACTTTGGAGACCTATGACAAGTCCAGAGTGCAGGTCTGCACTTGGAGTGCCAACCCAACTGGAACTTAACTCAAGCACGGGGCATTTTGGAAAATGAAAAGAAAGGACAAAAAAAAAGAAGACATAAATGTAAAATGTAAAAATTAGGGGACATATTTTAAACTCTACAAAAGAAAAAATGATATTCATAAAATTTTCCCTTGAACTTAAGATGAAAACACCATTTTGGGTTTTGGCTGGAAATCTTTATCGCGTATAACTAGTGAAAAATAAGAAATTGTCATCCCACATATTTTACACTTTACACTCATATCTACTTTGAGTTTTTTTCCTTAAAATATCTTCGATCTATTAGTTCCAGACCACTTTGTTCTATATTTTATCTTAAGGAAATAGAAATGATCTAAAAATTTTAGTTTTGGACCGCTTTAATTCATAAAAATGAGCAATTTGGAATTAATAGTTCCAAATCACTTAGATATATACTTTCTGTTTGGAATCAAAGTGGTAAAGGACTATAAATTCCAGATAATTAAACTAAGATGAAAGCATAATATTGTTTATCCCCTACATATAGTGGAATTTAAAAAACTTTGTCGTTCCGTATATTTTACATTTTATGCTCATGTCTAATTTTTTTTTTTCTTTTTTTTTTTCTAAAATATCCTCTCTAATAGTTCGAGGCCACTTTCCTCTATACTTTCGTAAGGAACCAAAGTGATCCAAAACTATTACTTCTGGACCTTTTATTTTATTACATGAGCAATTTGGAAACAATGTTTAAAAACGGATCGGTGACCAAGATCACACATATGAAAACCAGCTCGAATTGATGGATCAGTGGTCTAGATTTGGCCTGAAAATAAGTTTAAAAAATCACTAATTTTTTTAAAAATTTAGCTTTTTCGAGTTATGAAGAAAATAGGTATTGCTCATGTCCAAGTATTTGTTGTACATTGCGTTTATTTTATAATTAAATAGATAACTATAGCAAAAACAAATACTTTTGGGAATGGAGAAAATATTATGCTATGAGAGCAAAATAGTGATAAGAAAACGTTTCTTTGAAAGAAACGCTTGAAGAAGGGAAAAAGAGGGAGGAAAGCTGTGAATTTATATATATATCTAGAGAGAGAGAGAGAGAAAGTGAGAGAGAGATGTTTGCACCAAAACAGGTTTCATAAGTGCCACATGGGTAGACATTTGAAACATTACTAGCTTGACAAACTTCTAAAAGAGAGCATGCGTGCTGGCTTCTCACGATCGGTAAGATGGGGGTGCTTGGCTCCATCAGATGTGAGGTGGCTTTGTAGCTAGCAAGGAGATGGGTGGGCTACCTGACCACCCCTCGTTTATATAGAAAAAAATAGAAATTTTATACGAGGAAAATATTAAATTTAAAAGTTTTATAGAAATGAAATAATAATAATAATAATAATTATAATAATAATGGGATCCAAGTTAAGTCGCCTAGCTCCATTGCAAAAAACCGGTTGGTTTTGTTACAAAACTAATAATTCTGTTCCTGATAAACATGAATCAAACTCCTAGAAACCCCTCGAAATTTTGGCTAAGGGAATTCCTAAAAACTTTGATTTTAAGTCCGAAGGACTACGTAAACCCTAGTAGTACTTACAACACCTACGCCTAGTTTGATTATCCCGAAACTTATCCCAGATCAAAGTAGACATCTTTTCAATGGTCTAAGAATTGCACAAATTGGACAGTTAGATTGAAAACCGAAATCCTCGAAAGTCAAGGGGTGCGATTTACCAACCCCAAGTCAACCTATAATGCCCCATCTAAAAATACATTGAAAATACTAGAAAATCCCTAGAAAATAGACTGAAATCCCTAGGAAATTTGAAGTTAGAAACAAAAAATCCTAATAAATCCTAAAAAGTAGGATAATACCTTAAAAAATTCTTATAAAAATTATGCAAAATAAGGATAATTCCCCAAAAATCATAGAAAATCCAAAATTTTAGATTTGAGAATAGGAGACCCCAAATCCTTTAGAAACTTAGGGAAAACACCTCCTAACCTTAAGAAAGCTTAGGTAAACCTTATCTAAAAATCCCTAACCCTTTTTCAAACATTAAAAACCCTAGATCTAGCTGAAAGAACCTCAAATCTACCAAATTCCAGCAAGTAAGAAGCATCCAAAGAGGAGATGGTGGTACTAGAAGGATAGTCTGATCTAAGCCCAAAACTCCGGGTTTCGGGTCCCTAAGGTAAATATCTCTTCCCCTTCTTTAATGTAAGTTTATTTTCCATTAAATTAGTTTACTTTTTTTGCAAATTTCTATTATTATTAGATTAGTAATTTAGAAGTATTTGAAAGCCATAGAGACATATTCTAAACTTGGCGCTGCTAGTGAACCCAAAGTAGAACTAGATCTGTATGGATCTATGATGTTTATGAGCCCATAATTTGAGTGATCCTACTCTCTAAATTAACTCGTTTGCATGGTACTTGAGTTGATCTCTTTAGGAGATCGACACAAATCCGAGCGTAAATAATATATAAAATCAAAATAAAAAGCATATGGTAGTGGTGAATGCTATAAAGCTTGTTGCGGCAAAAGAATACAACCAGCAATATGGCATTGACTTGCACCAGTAGCCATATGACTATTGTTCAAACCACAATTTTTGTGGCATCTATCTGAGAATGGCCTTTATATCAGTTAGATGTTAAAAATGCATCTCTCAATGAGGAAGCGTACATGAAGCTACCTCTAGGAGTTATAAATACTCAAAAAATGGTGGGTAAGCATCAAAGAGCCCTAAATGGACTCAAACAAGTACTCAGGGCATGGTTTGTGAAATTTCGTAGTGTGGATGATATGAATAGTCAGTGATGATTTTGGAACTATTCACAAAATCAAACAAAAACTCAATCAAATATTTTAAATAAAAGACTTGGGATTCTTACCCTATTTCCTTGGATTAAAAATTACTTATTCCCCTTGTGGCTATCTATTATCGTAGTTCAAGTATGCTTCAGAAATTGTTTCATAAGTTCGACTTATAGATGATATTAAGAAGCTCGATAACCCCATTGAGTTGAATATAAAACTTTGAGCTACAGATGGTCAACTTCATCCTGGTCCAACCTTTTGTAGATGAATCATAGGGAACCTTGTATATCTCACAATTTTAAAACCAAAAATTGTTTATGCAG